GTTACGACTTTTGTTTTTGTAACTTTTATATAAATTTAACTTTATTTACATATATTTTCTTATAGAAATAAATTAAGATCTCTTCAATTTGTCCAATGAACATTGTTTACTTTGTATATTTGCTTTATTTGTTTACTTCTTGTGCTACCTTTAGTTTTTAGCTACTGTACTGCTAGTTTGCTTTTAGCTGGCCTTTTAATGGTTTTAGCTACAGTTCTGCTACTTTTGCTTGCCGTTTGCTACTGTTAGGTAGTATGTCTCTACTTCTAGCCTGGCTAGCTGTTTGAGTATTTTTGCTAGCCGTAAACTTTTTTTAAAATTCAAATTTATTTGTAAACATTTTCGCCACAGAAATATATTGGGAGCACTTCTAATACATAAAACACAGTTTATGTTGAATAAGCTTCAGTAAAATTTGTCTTCTTATGCCACTTCTAGCTTTTAGCTCCTACTGGTATTTTTGCTTCGTTTAACTTTTAGTTTCTAATTAGTTTTTTAATACTATGTATGTATGTGCTTTTACTTTTAGCTTCTAGCTAGCTATTTGGCACTTTTAGCTACCCTTTAGCTATTTTAACCAACTTTTTTATATTTATCAAGCATTTAGCAACTTTTAACTTCTAGTGGCTGGTTTGATATTTTTAGATTTCAGCTAGTGTTTTGCTCCTTTTAGCTAGAGTTTTGATATGTTGGCTTTTAACAAATCTTTTGCTCCTTTTAGCTAGTGTTCTGTTTATTTTAGCTTTAACAACTCAGTTTCAGCTTCTTCAGCAAATTTTAGAAGTCATTCAGCACTTTTCATTGCTACTGCATTTTTGCAGAAAACGCAATTTCTGTAGCAATGCTTAAATAAAACTAAATTAAAAGTTAACAGTGATTTAGTTTTTAACAAACCACGACTGCATCCTGTCATGTGCAGGTGGGTGTAGGAGTGGGTGGGGGGGATACAGGGTGAGAAGGTGAAGGCTTGCCTCTGAGAAGGAGAGCTGGTGGGGGTTTAGGTTCAGTAGTTCGTCCACCATCACTGCTGAGTCCTGACCGGCCGCCACACACGAGTCTGAAAACAAGAAATGGGAGCGGAAAGAACGACGCAGCCAAGAAGAGGGAAAGCAAAAATAGTTTTGTTCTATTTCAGTGTTTGTGAAATCCACAGGGAACCAGAAATGGTTCGACCGACGGCTCAAACTGTGTCAGCTCCTGCACCTGGCTTCAGCGGCACCATGTCGTTCTCAGAGTCTCCCAGGTTTGCGACGGCGGTCGTCCGTCTGAAACTGCTCAGGCACGGCTGACACTCCACGCTACAGTGTCTCTCCACCAGGCAGCAGAGAGATCTGTTGAACCTGAACAGAACACACAGAATAAGGCTTCTTTAGTGGATGCTAAGCAGAAATGAGATCTGTACCAAACAATTAGAGGTGAGGAGGAGGGACTCACTTCATGATGAGTATATAGATCCCATACATGGAGATCAGGATGATTGTCTCCCACCTGAAACAGTCAACATTCATCGCAGCGCCAATTATCTAATTTAATCTAATATAAAAAACAAAACTAGCTGCTGAAATTAAAATAAAAATACATTATGACAGTCTTACCACATGACTTGCTCATCATAGATCACCTGTAAAAAAGCAACAACAGGACGTTCATTTGAACTCAGACACAAACTTTTTCCTGAGTGATTAGTTTGTGGTCCTGTCTGGAGAAAAGTTTAAAAGAACTCAAGACTTTGAAGTTTGTCTCAAGATTTGTGTAAAAATTTTGATTTTCTTTGAGCATCCCCTCGCTTTTGTGTTATTAGTGTGATCCAGTTTGCGATGGCTGCTGAGTTAACCACTAGAAACACATACGATGCTCAGTATATTGTGATGAGAACTCTGACCCCGGTGTAAAGTCTTAGAAAAGTCAGAGTTGCTGTTTTATCTAACCGGTGAGAATACCTGAATTAAAAAGCTGCAGTGGCTTTATTTTTTATTTTTTAAACTCACCAGAATAAGCACAACTATGGAGAGGATGTAGAAAACGGCATCGCGGAACAAAGGCCACCAGCTCAGGGAGATCGGCTGCACACACAAAGAGAGGATGAACAAAAAAGACACCATGGTCAACCAAGTAGGATTTGAGCTCGATCAAAAAAACCTGCGCTAGAAATTATTTAGTTACAATTTCCGTGTTTTGGAAAATGAGCAGTTTTAAAGGCAGCTTTTCTCTCCTCCAGATGTAACAATAAAACCCAACACGTCTCGTGCGATGGTAAGTCTTTAGTTTTGTGTCATGCAGATAACAAAAGTCACATGAAGGCTTTCAACGACCAACGTTACTTCCAGAACCAAACAAAAAGGTGAGCAGCAGCTGCACTGCTGACACGCAGAAGTCTCAATAAAGCTAATTTCTTTTACACACCGAATGAGCAGATATGTCCTCAGCAATGTTCTGTCTCTATTGTTCTTCCTTTAGCTGTTTATGTCTAAATGAAACATACACAGAAACAATTCGGTTCAGTTTATTTATATAGCGCCAAGTCACAACAGAGGTCATCTCAGGGCACTGAACAAAACATTCATGAATAATAATTTAACATTAATTATCTGAGGAGCAGACTGCTTTGAATTTAACTCCATCACAGAACTCTCATCTTGAAGCATGAAGGCAACAGTGGAAAGGAAAAACTCCCTCATAAGGAAGAAACTTTTAGCAGAACCAGGATCAGGACAAGTGGCCATCTGCTTCGACCAGCTGGGTTTGGTAGAAACAGATACACAATGGCAGGTCAAGAATCATGTTAAGATAGAAATACATGTAGTATCAAATGAAAACTATTCAATTTTAGCAATTCATTTAAGGAAACGAGGTCAGTTTGTCCTCCAATAGTTTAAGCCTAGGGCAGCACGACAAGCCGACCCTAATTATAAGATTTATCAAAAAGGAAAGTCTTAAGTCCAGTTTTAAAACTGGACAATGTGTCAGCCTTATGGACAGAAACTGGAAGTTGGTTCCACAACAGAGGAGCCTGAGAACTGAATGATCTTCCTCCCATGCTGCTTTTGGAAACTCTAGGGACCACGAGTAAACCTGCAGTGTGAGAGTGAAGTGCTCTGTTGGGAAAATATGGTACCATAAGATCTGTAATATAAGATGGAGCTACAGTAGGTTGTTGAGAGCTTTGTAGGTTAGAAGCAAGATTTTGAATTAAATTCTGGACTTGACAGGGAGCCAGTGGAGAGAAGCCAAAACTGGAGAGATATGATCTCTCGTACCAACTCCAGTTAAGACTCTGGCAGCAGCATTTTGGATCAACTGAAGACTTTTTAAAGAAGTATTTGAACACCCAGATAATAAACCATTACAATAGTCCAGTCTAGACGTGACAAATGCATGAACCAGTTTTTCTGCATCATTTTTAGATAAGATGTTTCTAATTTTAGTGATATCACGCAGGTGGAAGAAGGCATATATATATATATATATAAGGTAAAGAGTACTGGTCCAAGCACTGAACCCTGAGGAACTCCATAACTGACTTTGGTGTATGTTGAAGGTTCATTATTTACATTTACAAATTAGAATCTATCAGAAAAATATGATTTAAACCAATTTAGAGCTGTTCCTGTAATTCCAATAACATATTCAAGTCTCTGTAATAGAATATTTTGATCAACTGTATCAAATGCAGCACTGAGGTCTAACAGGACCAGTGTAGACACTTGTCCATTGTCAGAGGCCATGAGAACATCATTAGTAACTTTCACCAGTGCAGATTCAGTGCTGTGTGTGTGCAGATGTTCACGCAACTGACCTGCTATATATGTTGTTTATAAAACAGAAATATAGACATTAAACAAGACAAATGTGGATAAGCCTGTATTTTATGCTGCATATTCAATTATCTTGTTCTCGTGAATGTTTTTATCATCTTAAGATATATTTTCATTGCATACATGTGTTGGCGTGCCTTTTCACTGAGGGAACGCAGATGAAGTCAGTTGTAAACTGGAAGTCTCCGAGGTGTTTTTGTGCATTCCAATAACTACTAAACAAACCTGTCCAGCGAAGATGCCGCAGAGGCCAATAATGACGAGGATGTTAAAGACAGCCGATCCAACAATCGTTCCCACTCCTACGTCTCCCTTTGTGATGAACACCCCTGGAACCAGAGAACAAAGAGCTATGAGTCATCAACAAAAATAAAGTCAGCAGTTTTGTGACACTGAACAAAGAAAATAATAAAAAGCACTGACAAGTCATACAACATGAGGTGATTTATCTTCATTTTGGGACTCGCTGGATGTAATAAAAACCTAAAAACACTCAAATGTTTGTTCTTCTTCTGCAAATAAATCAGGTTATATCAGTCGCATCGTATGAAAGAGCTTTTAAGCTTCACAATATGAGAAGCAAAGACTGGTGTATAAAAAAAAAAAATCACAGTAGGATGCTCGTTTTAGGACATTTTTGTTAAATGCTTCTCTTTTTTTCTATCAGAAGGATGTGAATGAGAATATTTTCTATTTAAAATGTTCACTTTTTTCTTCTCTACATCTAAATGACTTTCTTTCTTGCACCTGAAACTTTTACCTCATGAATTTACAATTACAGGCCGCAGTTATAAGAATCAACAAAACCTCAGATAACTTGAAGGAGGATAATACAACCCTGACATCTGTCATCGTGTTTAATGGTAACACATCGCCCAGTTTTAACACAGGACTGAACGGACAAGCGTCTTACTGACCAATCAGCGAGGTGAAGAGCTCTGGGGCGGAGCTTCCAGCTGCCATGAAGGTTGCCCCGGCAACATCCTGACTGAGATGAAGGTTCTGGTGGACAGAGGTGAAGAGTTAATCTGTGATGCTCTGCAGCTTTCATCTCATCAGCACACAGTTCATCACCTGTTGTCAGAGTCTACAGCATCAACAAATGAACCAGAATAATCTCGAGGTTTTAAAGGTTTGTAAAGTAGCTCCTACCTCCGACACTTTTTCCAGTGACGGCACAAAGTAAACATCGCACACTATGGCCAGCGCGTGAAACATGTAGATAGCCTGGTAAAACACAGGAAAGCCCATTCTGAAAACATGTTTTGTTTGTTTCAGCGCAACAAGGTAGAGTTTATTTGATACTCACGCAGAGGACGTGAAGCAGCACAGCGCCCTGTCTCCTCTGATCCAGAGTAAAGACGTCCTCTGGAAACTCGTTTATGGCTGAGGAAGAAACGGGCCGAGTTAAAGCTCACTATGTCGCAAAATGACACGAATTCCTTCGCCGCATCTGAAACCAAATAACTAAAAAATATATATATATTATAATCTTGTTTCAAGTAAAATTATTGAAAATAAAAGCTGTGGATTGAAATAAGGCTGTCTAAAAAAATGTATTCAGGTATCTGAATGGTGAACATGGTGAATGTTAGACTTTTAAAGATGTTTTTGTGTGATTTTTCTGTTCAGAATATTTAGAGCAGGTCAGAAACTGGGTTTCCATGACACAGAGACTCTACTTCAACACCAAAACGTTTTAAATAAACCTTAAAATGGGCAAACTTCATCTTTATGTGAACCTGACAAACAACTTGCTAACTTTAATTGCCTGCGCCAACAAAATCCTTATTTTCAATGTGAGCAAAACCTGGAAAATTTACCTAAAAAGGCATGAAATTAAGATAAAAACGAACTGGAAGCATTATTTAAATAAAGAAAGTAAAAAATGACTTTTAGGAGACAATTATAATGCTGAAGACTCAATTAAATGTTGGTTAGTCAGCAGCACACCTGCTGAATAATCTGAATATAGAACCTGCTCTGTGGATCCTCACTTCAGTCACCTGAGAGTTAATAATCAGCACAAACACCTGTAATTTCACCAAATTACACCGGGATTAACAGATTTACCTCTCTAAAACAGACTGATTGACTCTCTGATTTGTCAGAACGCTCTTTTCTCATTGGCTGGTCATGCCCACTGTGAAAATATTAATTGCACAAATGATAAACAACATCATCTTATTCCACAGCTGAAAGGTTTCAGACATCTTAAATTCCTGCAGTCGTTCTGCAGCTTCACTTTTTGGCAGGATGATTGAAATTCTGTTCTGGTTTGGTTCAGAATCCCCTGTGGTGAGATTTATGATGAGGTTTTGTTGTGTATAAATGGCTTAAGAAATATTCAGTTAAATCATTTCTTAAACAGGAAGTTGCTTGTCTCTGTGTATCCATGGTAACAAGCACCCAGGCTGCTTTAAAGTTAAATCAGCCATTTCACCAGGATCTGTGTTCCCATCAAGTTTCTTCCTAAAAATATATATTTTTTGTGAATTCACCCTTTCTCCTAAAGAAAGCCACACCAAGATCTTTAAATTAAAAATCTTAGTGATTTCTAAAGCAGCTTGGCCAAGTTAGATACTGACATATTTTTTAAATTTATTTCAGCTTGTGTTAAAATGAACTTCCTTGCAGTAATGCTCATAAAATGCTACAACTCCCTGATAACTCTTTCTGAGACAACAAAAGGAAAACCTGGAAAGTGATTTCTCTAAGGTTTATAAAACCTCACAGAAGATGAGGATAAAAATAATAATTTCATAAAAATTTAAAGACAACAAATGCAATCTTGAAGAGAGACCAAAACGTGTAGTTTGAGCATTATGATCAATAGACACCGTGGTGTAAAATTAAATTCAGGCGTCAGCCACACTAGAAAATAAAAACTTTTTATTTAGGAACAAAAAGCCAACGTTTCCATTAGATTGAAGAACAAATATTTAAAAGTCACTAATCTTTATTTTCAGTGTCCAATGATGACCAACGCATCAGAAAATAGCTAGAAAGGAGACAAAAGATTATAAAAGTACAAATAATTTGTTCTGGAAACGTCTCCAATTAACAGATTACATGATGATGGTGAAAGTGATTGGGTATAAAAAAAAATATGCACAAAACTAAATAAATAAAATAAAATAAAAATACTTTATTCTTTCAGAATCTACAGATAAATTTAATTAGATCTTCCAGATATCATGAGTATTTCCAGATATGTGGCTTGGTTTGCCTTGCTCCTTTGGATTACCCCGTGAACAAGTAATCTGAATCCTACATTTTCCATATCGTAATGAGGCTTTTTGAAACCACAAATCTTATTTTGATATTGGCGCACGCAGTAAAAGCATCATTAGTTGTTGGCAGTGCAACATAAAAAGTGCTTCCAAGCATCCCTCCTCAGGATAATATTTCAGACACTTCATCAAAGGAATCCGTAGACAGTCATCATAATTTGAAAATTTCCAATTAATCGTGAATTTTTCAACCTCTACATTCCACTTGATGACTTAATCCTCAGTTTGATGTGAAGGGTCACATATTTGGATTTTATTTATTGTTTTATAGTGCATTTCTGGTAAAATCCCAGCATGAGATTATAATCCATCACTGCTAATTTCAGTTTTTCAAACAACCAAGGCGCACCAGATGAGATGTGCGTGTTGATGAGAGCTTGTTAATCAGCAGGTCATTGCGGCGGGGTACTTTGAACCTCTGCGGATGCATGCACGCAGCATCCAACCCCAAATTCAGCATCCTGTTTCCTAGCAACCGGGTCCCTCAAAGGCCTGACTGTGTTTAAAGATCTAGATGTTTGAGTTTGAGCAAATGAAGTGGACCGGGGAGGTACATCAATGCACCGAGGAACCAAAAGGAATAATTAATAAAGATAAGGCGTCATTAAGATCAACACATTCAGCCGTTAGTGATTAAATATTCAATTCCATATCTAAATGTGTTTAATAAAGAGAGAATAAAAGGCCTGAGTCTCACCAGATCCAGTGTCTGTCTGGTTATCTTCTGTTTGCAGGGTGAGCTCTCGCTTGGTTAAAGACATGCCATGACCCACAGAGCCTGAGAAGACAAAACGTTTTATTAAAAATATTTTTAAATAATTGTGAATTTTAAAGATTTGCTGCATTGTTCTACTTGAATACTCCTTGAGGTTGCAGCCTGATTATGTTTATTTTCACCTGTGAGTTGACCGAAGTGACAGATGCAGGCAGTGGTGAGCAGCGCCGCTCCGCCGGTGAGGAGCCGGGGGAGGAGCAGCATCCTCCGGGGTCTCCTCCGAGTCTTCATCCCGCCTGCCGCGGCTGCTCGTCGGCTGTCGGATCAGAGCATGCCGCCGCCACGAACCCCTCTCCTCTCTCTCTTCCGCTCTGCGGGCTCGTTTCTTTTAATTCTTCAAACCGGATCTATCTGGCCTGTTGCTCTCTCTCCCTTCTCCCGGATTTATCGTCCTTCTTCAGCGGCTCCAGCTCGGAGCTCCATACGAGCTGAAAGCGCCGTGGCCGGGCGTCAGCGCGTCGGCATCCCGCTCCGCCGGGTCTGCGCTTCTCCTCCGGGCAGGAAAGAACCAGCAGCCAGTGCCAATTTATATTTATATTGAACAACACCTCCCTGCTCTGATGGTCTCAGCATCCCTCCTGTCCTCAACCAGAACCCGTTTAGTTCGATTCCCGGCCGGGGTGGGGGTGGAGGGGTGGGGGTCTCCTCCTCCAGCTGGGTGGGTCGATTTATTTTAGTCCCTCCAAAAGGGCTGAGGTGAATCATTATAATCAATGTTTGTTTTTATTAATCTGTTTTGTTTTTTAAAAGGTGAAACACAAATGGGAGCCCCAGTGGTGATAAATATGAAATAAAGAGGATGTTGAACTGTTTATAGAAAACATCCCAGATTTAAAGTTTGGTTTTTATAGTTTAACATTCTGGTTTAGTAAAACTTGGCTAAAGCAAGAAAATTTAACAATTTGCTTGTTTTATTTTACGATTCTTTGTTTTTAATGTTTGTCATCAGGTGGGTGGGTAAATAAAAATTATAATGTTCAAGCTTGTGTTGTATTATTTTATCATTTTTATACTAATATAACTGACTGAACATCCTCCAAGAGCTGTGGATCCATGATGATTTTACACTGATGTTATTTTTCCGTACAATTTTTGCAATCGTTCTATTTTAGCTGTTCTTATATGAAAATATTCAGCTCATTCAGTATTGTTTTAACCTTTCGTGTTCGTAACTTTTACACTTTTCTAAATATTTCACTTCACTTACAAATATTTTTTAGACATCTTGAATTCATCCAAAAATATTGTTCTCTTTACTTATTTGCTTTTTTGTATTCCTTGTGCTACTTTTACTTTTTAGCTGCTATAGCTTCTAACTAGCCTATTGCTATATCTAGCTATGGTTTTGCTACTTTCAGCTAGCCTTTAGATTGTTGTCCATTGCTACTTATCTTGCTACTTTTAGCATCCAGTTAGCTTTTTGCTGCTTTTATCTATCCTTTTGCTACTTTTAGCATCTAGCTACTCCAGCCTTTTGAAACTTTGTTTGCCTTTTGCTAATTAGCAAAAGGCAAGCCGTTTTGCTTCCTTTAGCTTCTAGCTAGCCCAGCTGTTTGATACTTTTAGCTTGCCTTTTGCTAATCATAGTTTTTAGTTATTGTTTTGTAACTTTTAGCATTCAGCCAGCTTTTTGCTACTTTTAGCTAACCTTTTAGCTTCTAACTAACCCAGCCTTTTGCTACTTTTAGTTTACCTTTTGATAAACATAGTTTTAGCTAGTATTTTACTACTATTAGCTTCTAGCTAGCCCAGCCGTTTGATACTTTTAGCTTGCCTTTCGCTAATTGCAGTTTTTAGCTATAGTGTTTTGCTACTTTTAGCTTTTAATTAGCGTTTTGTTATACTTTTGGTTTTACTTTCAGCTTTTTCAACAAAGCTGTTCACACAGCACAAACAGACTCCGTCACTTGGACCTGTCTAACCGCCGTGATGTTAATTTTGTAATAAATTGATAAAAATCAACATGTTGCCTCCCCTTCTTCTTTTAGTCATGACAGTTCTAACAGAGCGAGGCTCTGAAACTGAAGCAGCTTCATGTAACTTTATTTGTCATGAGTGTAATCATTTTCTTTCCAGTTGTATCTGATCTGCTGCAAACAAAACCAACGACAGCATCAAGCCATGACCAGGCGTTTAAACTGAACAAACGTGTTGATCAGCTTCAAAGGGGTGGTAAAGCATCGTAGTGAACGCTGAAGTAAGGCTGAGACACGAGCCGCGCACTGCTCTGCAAATCACAGACGGAAAACAGATCTACTGCACAACATCCCAGAACCATCAGGAAAACAAAAGAACAAGCGAAGATGCACATCATGAACAGCTTTGCTCCGTAGATGGCAGTCTTCGGGATTTTAGCAAATCTGCTTCCGCTGGGTAAATGATTAGCAAAGGCACAAAACAAGTCAGACGTAAAAGTAATGCAGAACTGAAATAAAGGGTTTTGGAACAGGATGATCTTTTAAAGCTGACGTACCTTTGAGGTTCACAGTTATTTGCGAGACTCTGGGAGTCCAGCAGCTCCTCAGCACCAGTCCCTTCCTGCTGACACAGTTTCATGTGTTTCAGTCACTGACAAACAGCATGAGTGTTGGTTTGTTATGACACAAACTTATAGTCATTTTTGATATTACAGAGTAATCAGTTAGCTGTCGAAGCTTTAGGTGCACCTAGAAAAAGATAATCCAGTTTAATGTAACAGTCATCTAGAAGGTTAACGTGTAAACTGTCTAAAACATTCCAAAAAAGTTAAATCTGGTCCTCTGGATATTCAAAAAAACAAAACAAAGCAAAAAAATACAGAAACGTTTTGTCTCTCACCCGAGAGACTTCCTCAGTCTTTGTTTTTTTGAATATCCAGAGGACCAGATTGAACTTTTTTGGATTTTTCTACCTAGATTATTGAGCATGCATCAGGATACTTAAATGTCCTGCTTTTGAATACAGACAAGAATGAGGTTTTGGTTTTTGGACCTGAAGATCTTTTGAATTGTTTTTTCAGTCTTTCTCCCTAATTAGATGATATTAATCTGGCCTCTAGTTCTATTGTAAAAAATCTTGGTGTTATTTTTGATCAGGACATGTCTTTTATCC